AAGCAGGCTCCAGGCTCTGAGCTGTCAGCACAGCACCCAACAAGGGGCTTAAACTCATGAACAGTGAGATCACAACCTGAGCTGAAGTCCGACGCTTAACTCACTGAACCACCCAGGTGCCCCACAACTTATGTTTTTGTAAGTCTTTCACAGCATCCCAGGATATTCTTAACAAGTATAGACTGTTCATATTTATTGCTGGATTAGCACCATGTCCAAATCAATTAACATTTGTTGAATGACAACTGGACATCCATATGCAAGAAAAAAAGGTACCTTAATTCTTACCTTCCACTATATACAAAAATGAATTCTAATGGATCATAAACCTAAATATAACAGCTAAAAATATATAAAACTTCTTGGGGTGGCTGGTTGGCTCAGTTGGTTCAATGTCCCAACTCTTGATTTTGGCTCAGGTCGTGATCTCATGGTCTATGAGTTCGAGCCCCACATCCGGCTCTGCACTGGCAGTGTGGAGCCTGCTCAAAATTCTCTCTGCTCCACCTCTACTCACCTGCATGCTATCTGTCTCTCAAAAATAAAGATTTTTAAAAAAAACAAAACTTTCCATTCTTTAAAATAAAGAAATAAAAATAAAAATAAAAATAAAAATGTATAAAACTTCTTGAAGAGAACGTAAGAAAAAATCTTCATGACCATAGAGACAGCAATTATTTAACTTTTTGGATAACACACAAAAAACATGACCCATAAATAAAATGGGATTTCATCAAAATTAAAATCTTTTCTGGGGCACCTGGGTGGCTCAGTCAGTTGGGCGGCCGACTTCGGCTCAGGTCATGATCTCACGGTCCGTGAGTTCGAGCCCCGCATCGGGCTCTGTGCTGACGGCTCAGAGCCTAGAGCCTGTTTCAGATTCTGTGTCTCCCTCTCTCTGACCCTCCCCCATTCATGAGCTGTCTCTTCCTGTCTCAAAAATAAAGAAATGTTAAGAAAAAAAAAAATTAAAAATTAAAATCTTTTCTGCTGCAAATACTAACGTGAAAGAAAATATTAAAACATTTATCAGATAAAGAATTTGTATCAAGAATAGAGAACTACTATAACTCAGTAAAACAAATAACTCAATTGAAAAATGGACAAAAGATGTGAACATTTCACCAAAGATATATGAAAGGCAAAAACATGAAAAGATGTTCAACATCATCAATCATTAGGGAAATACAAGTTAAAACCACAATAACATACTACTACACACCTGTCAGAAAGCTAAAATTTAAAAATTAACAATACCAAATGCTTAAGAGATTCAAAGCACTTGGAACTCTCAACCACTGCTGACCAGAAAGCAAAATGACACAGCTACTCTAAGTAACAGTTTGATAGTTTCTTATAAACATATACTTCCCATATGACCAGCAAACCTACTCCTAGGTATTTACTCAGGAGAAATGAAAATGTCTACACAAAGCCTTGTATACAAATGTTGACAGTAACTTTATTCATAAGGCAAAAACTAGAAACAATCCAAATATCCATCAACTAGTAAGTGGATAAACGAATTTGGAATACTATTCAGCAATAAAAAGTAATGAACTACTGACACATATGCAACAACTGGATGACTCAGATTATCATGCTAAGGGAAATAAGCCAAACAAGCCACACACTACAATAATTCCATTTATATAATATTGTAGAAAAAACTACAGTAACAGAAAAATGTATCAAAGGTTTCAAGGGATCAGGGTATAGAGCAGAGAACAGACTTCAAGGGGTACAAGGGAACTTTTCTGTGGAGATGGAAATGTTAAATGAAAATGGTCTACATCTTGAGGTGCCTGGATGGCTCCATTGGTTAAGCAATCGACTTCGGATCAGGTGATAATCTCACAGCTCCTGAGTTCAAGCCCTGCGTCAAGCTCTGTGCTGACAGCTCAGAGCCTAGAGCCTGCTTCACATTCTGTGTCTCCCTCTCTCTGCCCCTCCCCTGCTTGCACTCTGTCACTCTGTCTCTCTCTCTCTCTCACAAAAATAAACAAACATTAAAAGAAAATGGTCTACATCCTGGTTGTGGTAACACAAATGCATACATTTGTCAAAACTCACCAAACGATATACTTACCATTTTTTTTTAATCTTTTTTTTTTTTTTTGAGAGAAAGAGTGTGAGCAGGGGAGGAACAGAGAGAGGGAGATACAGAATCCGAAACAGGCTCCAGGCTCTGAACTGTCAGTACAGAGCCCAAAACGGGGCTCGAACTCATGAACGGTGAGATCATGATCTGAGCCTAAGTCAGATGCTCAACCAACTGAGCCACCCAGGCGCCCCATCAAACGATTACTCATAAAGGGCAAATATATAGAACGTACAACATCATGAGTAAACCCTAATATAAACTATGGACTTTGCATAATAATGATATATCAGTGTAGGTTCATCCACTGTCACAAATGCACCACTCCAGTGGGGGATGTTGATAATGGGAGAGGCTGTGCATGTGTAGTGGTAGGGGGTACATGGGAAATCTCTGTACCTTCTGCTTGATTTTGCTATGAACCCCAAGTAAAACTTCTCCAAAACAAAGTGTATTTTTTGAAAATGGTGAATATAGTCCTAGGCAAATTATACCTTAATAAACTTGACTTAGGGGACCCAGGTGGCTCAGTTGGTTAAAGGTCCAACTCTTGAGCTCTGTTTAGGTCTTGATCTCAAGGTCATGAGTTCAAGTCCTGCGCTGGACTTAAATACTTAAAATTTTTTTTAAAAAACTTAACTTAAAACTTTATTGAATTACTTCTAAAACATTGCCAATTGCCCATGGGACTAACTTTTCACACCAATACTCCAGTGTCAAATTAAACACATCTAAAATTAAACACAATACCTTCTCCTTTGCCTACAAATTCCCTCCTCCAATCCCCACCCACTCTCCCTCTCTACTTCACCATTTCAGTGAACAGCACCAACATTGTCACCCATGTTCAAACCTCTAGAATCTACTAATGCCTCTTCTTCCTTCTCCCCAGTTTTAAAGTCTCTTGCATCCTTTGAATTCTGCTTCCACAACCACTATTCCAATGAACCGTTCCTTTCCATTCTCATTTATGCCCACCAATTTAAATCATCATTAACACATGCCTAAGCTGTTAAGTGCCCTCCAAAATGATTTCCAAGCCTTTCCTGTATATTTCTTCTAGCAACCCTGCATATATATAAAGATTAAATTATTTTTATAACATTCTTCTCTTTTCTTTAACATTTTATCTTTTAAGTAAGCTCTATGCCCAATGTGGGACTTAAACTCACGACCCCGAGGACCAAGAGTCACATGCCCTATGGCCTGAACCAGCCAGGCTCCCCTATAACATTCTTTTAAAAATGCTCCAAGGCTCCTTGAACAAATCATCTCATATGGCTGGTCTGCACTATTCACTACATCTTGAATACATTCTCAGCATTGTTCTGACCCAAAGTGGCCTCTTCTGTTTGGTTTCATTCACTCAAGTCCCACTCCTTCCAAAGAGTGTTCCTTCATCATTGAGCCCGTAATTCCATCTCCAAATTCCAATAAGCTTTCAGTGTATCTTTTCCGCTCTTTGTCTCTCCATCCCACTATCAGTTTTTCTTTAGTACAAAGATTCTGAAATACTAACTTTCTATCCTCTCAAACAACTCTCACAATAGATAAGTAGTATTAATCTATTAATTGGTACTACTAATTAGTATGAATTAGTACGAATTATTAATTCATTTCAATAATTACTATTATTGAAACGAATTAGGCAAACAATTCAATTAGAGAAAACCAATACTCCAAAAATTGTCTTTAAAACATTGATGATTTCCAATCCGACAATCAAAGTTTTCTCCTTCAATGTCAAGAGATTCACAAAACTTTGCAGAGGTGCAATGAAACAAGGAATGCTCTTCAAGATTAACATTTTGATATTCTACAAAGGCCTACAGCAATCTATTATATAACCTTGAATTTAACAGTTTCTTTCTTGCTAAGAGCTCAAAATATGGTCATAATTTGAAGCACAAACCAAGGTAAAATGGACAAGAGATTTGCTTAAGGAAGAGCTAACTATTCCCTTGAACCTTGGCATATTTTCCACCAAATTTTGACTATAAGCTCCTTGAAGACATAGTGTTTATCTTTCTAAAGGAGAGACAACTACTCGGCCTTATCCTAACACAATAATTAAAGTACAGCAAGCTTTTGTGTTGCTAAGGATTATAAGGCACAAGCCCAAGTTGGCAGTGCTTGAGGAAGAGCAGCAAGTCACAACGGTACAATTAAGAATGGGAAAATCTCATCTCCCTTTCTGCCAAAAAAGCTTGCGGAATAAGTTCTCTTAGCAAATACTGCCTCCACTGTCTTACTGATAACATCAATTGTTAGAATCCCAACAGTTTTTGTCTTTAAAGAAATTTTATAGGACCAACATACGGCAAGAAGCTAGGGTTGGGAAATTTGTAATAGAGTTTAGAGGCACTCCATATAGTCTTTGAAAATAAAAAGAGGGAGCTTTCATACAGAGTAAAGGAATAGACTTGGAATCAGGTGCTAGGTTTGAAACTTTTGGTTCTACACATAGCTGTGTCACACTGGGCAAATGACATAACTATTATTTCCTGAAAAGAGCACCTACTTTGCTTGGTTTTGTGAAGGTAAAATGAGAACACATGTGAAAGTATTCTAAGACAGCGCCTTGTACATATTAGTTGCTCAATAAATGTTAGTTGAATAAACAGTCCTTTTATTTCATCTTGATACCCACTACTTAGTATTTTACCAAGTACATTATTAAAAGTTGAGATCTGTTTTTTGAGCAGTCATTCAGCCTATCCCACTTTTTAAGTTACTTATAAATACCTTTTCTTTTTTATCTGTGATACTGAGGCTTTAATGTCAATTAATTAAGTAAAACATCAGAGAATCAAAAACTATATGGACACAAGCAGATTTTGTTTAAAGAATATCATATTTCCTTGCTTTTCTAACCACAAAAATCAAATTTACCATTTACCTTCATCGTCATCATCTCTTTCTTTCTCTTCCAATGCTTGTCTTTCCAATTGTCTTGCTACCTCATCAACTGAGGCTCCTGATTCTTTATCAGGTTCCTGTTGCCCTGCTGATCAAATACAACATAAGTCAAATCTAATAAAGATACTTTCCAATTTGAATATGTTCTAAGGATCCTGGAGAACACACAAGTCCTTTCCCGTCTGATAAGTATTCAGGAAACAAAAACAGAAACGTTATTGTGAACATAATCGAATTTACTTAACAAAAATCTGCCACATCTAAGTAGCATTGTCCATTCAATAAACTATCCATTACACCTTCTTTGTACTAGTAACTAAACAATAAAAGAAAATGTGAGTTGGTCCCTAGCCTTAAGTTGTTTCACTTTTTAAAGTACTTAACAATTTGACTACAGCAAACACTTTATTAACCAAACAGGTACTTAAGATAGGTAGTAAATGCTGAAGGTCTTAGCAAGAGGAGGATTTGTACAAGACACTGGGAACTTCAAATCTTCATGAAGAAGTTGCCAAGCCAGGATGGGTAAAATCAAAACAAGTAGGAAAAGATAATTCCATTACTATAAAACCTAAATTCTTGAACAGCACAAGACCAGCTCCCCCCACCTCACCCAAGTGATTACAACAATCTAGCTGTAGGAGCAATAGCTGTGTGTATAAAGGGATAGTTTTCCCACTTAGCACATACTGAAGTGATATTCTGGCTACTGTAGAGGGTTCATATTGAGAGATACAACTGCTTAAAATATATTAGGGTCAGTCTACTGAACACCTGAATGGACAAACTGAAGAGTTTGGATTTCATCCGAAAGCCAGGAACAGCCGACTTATGTCCAGGGATTAAACTTTCTCTTGAAGTGTCTCAGCACCCACAACTTTCCCTTTACAACTCCCATTTAATCAAAATTTCATAAAGTTATAGATTAACCCTTTCCAACCTGTCTCAACTTCACCTTCATCACTTGTGGCCTCTCCATTGGTCCCTCAATCTTTGTGTGGCTGATTTTAGAAACAGGTACAACATTTTTTTCCCTAAAATGAAGGACCACGTACAACAAAAACACCAACTTCTCAAAATATTTTAAGTTCCTAACTCATAATGTAATCCAAGTGTAAACTTTCAGCTGTTTTCCTTACCTTGCCAATGGATTTAAAGAAGTTCAATTCCAACCCACAGAATATTCTACCTGGACTGCCGGCAAATGGCATCATAATTCACACCTAAAAGCCTTGAAGCTTGGTGATGCTAGGGGATGAGGCAGGTGAAAATTCGCACCACTATCATATATTCTGCAATTACTACTCAGTGACATGAGCGCGTGGGCAAACACACATATACACACACCCAGAAGTGCAGCCCGCAACAAAAATCCTTCTGTAAACCAGGAAGGTGGGGGGAGGCGCAGTCAAGGCACTAAGATTTGCCCACTCCTCTCCTATCCTTGACGAAAATATGCTCCAGGTTGCTTCAGCAAAGAGGCGACAGTCCGGGTCAGAACGGATTTTTGAGGAAGGCACACCGCGAGGAGGGTAGTAGAGCTCGGCCCTGTGCACAGCTTCAAGTTCGTTGCACGGTATGTATGGGTGGGAGCTGAGTTCTGGCAATTATAAGGGCCCAGCAACCCCAGAACTACCTCACCACAGGCTGAAGCACACTTTTCTCCCCCACCCCACCCCCACCAACTCTCTGAGAGTCCCAGCTAAAGAGAAGCCGCCTCCCCCCGGGATTGGGAATCTGTAGTCCGATTTCAACACACATTCAGTCCTGGGAATCAGTCCAGTGCAGTGTTCCGAGTCCCCCAGTCTCTTGTCACCCCTGCCGGGCCTGGGCCGAGCCGTTCGGCAATCCCTGGCGGGGACTGGGAACATACAAAACTCCCTTTACCTGTGGCAGCCCCTTTACTCTTCTTCTTCTTCCGTCTTTTTTTCTTGGCTGCCTCCTCAGCCGTAGAGACAGCTCCCTCTTCTCTGTCTTCTGGATCCAGGTCGCCATTCAGGTGGCTCCCGGAGGACGCTGCCTCCTCCACACCCGCCATGTTGCCCGAGAGAGCGCGAGACAGTGAGACAGAGCGGTGAGGGCCCGCTCCTTCTTCACCCACCTACACGAGCGACGCCGGAAGCTGCTCTCGATGGTAGGAGCGCAGGGAATGCTGGGATGTCGGAGGACTCGACGGCGCGAATCGCGCGCGAAGAGGTGTTGGGCGAGGCTGCGAAGGAATGCTGGACTGTGGCTGCTAAAGTAGTGGGGCTGGCTCATACATCTTTTTTGTCCCGCGCCTTGGGCATTCCCCCGGCACATTGAATGGCTGTGCTTGCCCAGCGCTCAAGAGAGAGGGACATCTGTGGTGAAACCGAAAAGTCATATTAGCGGATTTATGAAGCGTGCCGAAAGCGAGAAGAGGGCCCCAAAATGTGTTCACTTGTACACCTTTTTTTTTTTTAGGACTCAGAAGGACTGCGTTGTTTTTCACAGTTACAGTTCACGACGAGGCTGTCCAAGCACTTACGGTGATGAACCTGCAAAGGAGACTGAAGAGGCGTTTATTATTAGAGAAGGCAAGGGAAAACAGCGTTTCACGGAGGGAGTGATTAACCGCAGAGTGCTGCTAGGAAGTCAAGTAAGAGGACTGAAAAATGTCTGTTGTATATAGTAACATGGAAGACATTGGTGACCTTAGCAACAGCTACTTAGATAGTGAGAAGTATAGTCTGAGCTCAGGAAATAGTCATTGTATCAATAGCACTTTAAAAGCTCCAAGTACTTTATTTTCTCATTTTATCCGCTTCTGAGTTGAGGAAATTAGAAAGTTTTGTGAACTTAGGTCACACAGCAAGTGAATAGAATCCAAACAGGCATCAGGCACCAAAAGTTAAATAATTCTGTATTCTGCCTTCCCAAATGAAATTTCAAATCAGTAAACATTTATTGATTGTAGGTTAGAAATATTTTTTCTTGATGGGCGATAAAAAATGAAGGACAAATCTGTACCCTCAAGAAAGTGTAGCATTCAATGAGACAAAAATTTAACTAAATAAGAATAAAATAATACTTACGCTAATACTTAAGTCATTTAATTCTTTTCTATTCCAAGCTAATCTATCACAAAGGTGAGGAATTTTAAAACAGTCTAGAAGATATTCAGACTAGGGGCAAGGATGTGACTAAGCTCAGGAGAAATCAAAGCTCACCCTTTTGAGGTGCAAGGCTACTGCAGAAGATTTTTTAACATCCTTATAGCTAATACTGCTACGTCAAAATGCCTCCAAAATTTTTTTGTAAATCTTCCCGGTTTTTCTGTAAATTCTGGGAATACTTGTACTGTGGCTACTATCTCAGACCCAGTTGAGGAGACACAGGATCCTGGAGGACAGAAACTGTAGGGTTGATAAATGAATTTTCACAAAGGGGTGCTGGTATAGGTTGACAGAATTATCAACGTCAAAATAAAATTTGTTCACTTAAAAAAATAAGCTACTAAAATGCAGTAAGACAAAATATTCTTTGTTGGAAAGGGATTGTACTCTACTTCTCCCCCTTTTTTTCCTGAAAAGAAGCAAGAAAACTAAACTTCAAGGTAGTTGTATAAAAACAATATATATCTCAACAGTATGGTAGTCGATATTTGTTGGATGATTGTTTTCCAGGAAATTCCAGAGTTTGAGATAACTGAGTGAGTACTTAAAATAATAGCCCGTTACACTCCTTATTTCCATCATTTTTCTTCATTTAGTTTCTCTACAAGAGGAAATTGAATAGGATAAAGGAATGAGAAATGTTGAAATCTCAAAGAATCTAAGAGAACTAAGAATCTAAGTAAATAATGTAACTCAATACCAGTACAGGCTAAAATATTTTTCCTAGCTGACTACATGAAGTAATTTTGTCTCAGATGACTAACTAGATAAGCAGATAAAAATGTATTTTTTCCTTAGGGAGATACTTTTCCATTTATAAAGTCAATGCATTATAATAAGACATATATTTTTTAAAGATTTTTAAGTAATCTCTATACCTAACATGGGGCTCAAACTCACAACCTTGAAGTCAAGATTCACATGGTCTACTGACTGAGCCATCCAGGTGCGTGGATACAATAAGACATATTTATTATTTTGTCCAGAAATGTATTTTTTGCTAAGAAAACCTCGATTCAAAAAATGGACATTTTTAGTCCCAGTCTTACTTTTTATTTTGAAGTCCTTGATAGTGGTATGGCTTTGGACAAGTCACTTAATTTCTCCAAATTGCACTTCTCTTACTTGTGTTAACTAACATTAACATTAACATACGTTTCCTTATTTCTAAAATGAGTATAATAATAGTACTACATAGAATATGGAAATTAAATTTCAATATGGAGAGAAAGCACTCATGGTAGCATAGTGTCTTACACAATAGTGATAAATGTTAGCTAACTTTACTGTTAGTAAGCCATGCTCCTAAAAATTTTACATTTGTCTGGATCATTTGATGGCCTAGATATCCTAAGGCACTCTTATGTTTTATTGACCTCTGGCAATGGGTTAGCAAGAAATATATTAGGAAAAAAATTGAGAAGGCTTGATTTCTTAATGTTAAGGGTAAGGATATTTTTTTCATATCTTTATGTTTAAAATGTGATATAACTCTTTAAAAATCTATAGATGACATGGCATATGCCGTGTGTGTGTGTGTGTATACACGTACATGCCAGTCTCCAAGTACAGTCACATAGAGGTTAGGGCTTCAACATGTGAATTTGGGGGGGGGAACAAAATTCAGATCATAACACAGACATTGCCAAATGCCTTCTTATAGAAGGGTGCAGGGAGTTATTCCCAGCTGAGAGCCACTGGCATAAAGGCATGAAAGAATATGGAATGTTTATGGTAAGTTCTTGCTGAGGAGTAAATTACAACTAGATTGTAAAGGGCCTTTTGTGTTACCCTAGAGGATAGCTTGTATTGTAAGGCCTGAAGGTGATATGTCACAGGGACGTTTAAAGTTTATTATTTTAGAAAAAAGTCTAAAATAGAAGGCCATAATAGACATGTCAATAACATGTAAATAAAATGATTACTATGTGCCATTAAAAGCCAGAAAAGGATATGCATGTAGATTATATGGATAAATTTAAATGGTTATGTAACAGAGATTTTCAAGCTAGCTAAAGATCACTGTGATGGCAGTCTAAATTCTAGAGCAATGGTTGCCATCCAATAAACGGTTTCATTTAAAAAGCCAAATAGGGGTCGGCTAAGTGTCTGACTCTTGATTTCTGCTTAGGTCACGATCTCATGGTTTGTGAGATCAAGCCCGTCAGGCTGTGCACTCACAGCACAGAGCCTGGTTGGCATTCTCTTTCTTCCCTCTCTCTCTGGCCCTCCCTGGCTCACACACTTGCTCTTTCTCACTCTCTCTCAAAATAAATAAACTTAAAAAATAAAATAAAAAGGCAAATATATTTAAAGAACTGTTTTCAACGAGGGTATGGTACTTTCTATTTTTTGAAGTTGAATAGTCTTTTAAATTACTATGAAATGGTAGTGAGAGTAGATGATGTTGGGTTTTGTGCCCTGACAAAATTTTTAAAAAAAGAAAACCATACTATGTCAGTTCTCAAAACCATTTTTTAGACTTTTTTGAACAGTGAGATCTCTAAGTCTAATGGCCTCTATCCTAAAGAAAACATTGGAAATGACAGAGCCTTGTAGTAGAGGAGACTTGCTAAGATGTTACTGTTGATAACAGTATTGATAAGAACTTACAGAAGGCTGTTGGGGGGCCAGAGAGGAGAGGTTGGATTGCAGAAACATTTTGAACATAGATTTAAAAGAACTTAATGGTCCATTAAATGTGGAGAGGTAGAAATTGAGGATCACACCCAGGTTTCTGGCTTGGGTTCCTGGGTGGATAGTGGTACCACTCTCTGAGATAGGGAATAAAGGAGGAGGAGGAGGTTTTGTAGGAGTTGGAGGGGAAGATAAGCATTGGGCATTTTAAGTTTGAGATGCCTGCAGAGCATCCAGACAAAGATATCTAGTAGTCAGTTAGAAATATGGGTCTGGAGATATAGACATGTGAGTTATTAGGACTTGGGTAGAAGGCTATGAATGAGGTAATTCAGGGAGAAGAGAACAGGACCCAAAACAACAACCCAGAAGGACACTAATGTTTGAGGATTTTGTTTACAACAAACAAGAGTGGAAAATTCTGTTAAAAAAAGTACAAAGAAATAATAGGACAAGAAGGAGAAAATGCTTTAGAGAATAATCACATAGAAATAAGGAGAAAAAAAGGGTTTACAGAATAAAAGTTTGGTCAACTATATCAACTGCTGAAGAAAGATTAAGTAGTATGAAGTCTCAAACTAGAGCATTGATTTTAGCTATCAGGAGGCTACTGGTAACTTTAGTGACAGCAATTTTGTTAGCACCAAAAGAGGGATCCTCACAAGAGATTGGGATGCACTATCCTGAACGCCAGCTCAAAGAGCAAAGGATCCTTTATCCCAAACTTACTTTATTAGTGACTCTTGCAGTGTTCTCCTCTTTTGTTCTAGAGAGAGTGTTTCTTGAAATTACATGTGGCTCTGTTGCCACGTACTCTGGTATAATTCCTTTCCTATTTTAGTTCTGTCCAACAACATCCTATGTCTTCAAACATATTATTATCTCTTTTTGTAACTGGAGAATAGATACTTAATAATAGAACTTTACCTTCCCCATAATCTCTATGTAGCATCCATGTATTTAGGCTGAACTTTGGGAAAGACATATATGGTTCCAAGAAATATTCCTATGGCCAAAATGTCAGGAGTATCATTACCTACATGGAAGTTTCAAGTGTTTATTAGTCAGGGATACATAGGAATCAATATTAAGAGTTCATAAACGAAAGATAAAAACTACATGAAATACTGGAGGACAAATGACAGTACCATTCATAGACTCCCTCTTCCCATCTCTCCTGATCATGGTTCCCTACTACTTATAAAAGAACTGAAGGTTGTTTTAGTGTTGAAGATCAAGGTGGGCTGAGTTGAACTAGGAATATATTGTGAATGAGGTTGTAATGAGCCCTCATGATTAGGATT